CCATCCCCTTTTTCTTATGAATCAGGGTGATATCTCGCTCAGGGAGGAGTGATAGGGAATGGCAAAGGGCACACTGACAAAGGAGATTAATCAGAACTGGCTTTGACAAGCACTGTGGCAATTGGACAATTAAAACAGACATGGGGGGGGGAGAAGAACGAACTAGGGAGGAGGGTAGTGAAGACAGTGCAACAATGAATGAATGAGAACCCAAAATCTCTGTAAATGTTCATTAAAACTAATAAAATTTAATAATAATTTTAAACCCCCCAAAAAAACCCAACCCCCCCACACACAAAAAGGATAACTAGTAAGAAGTAACAGTTCAAAAGGAGAAAGGGAGGGGACAAAGGGAGTGGGAAATGAGGAAGGGAGAAAATCACTAGGATAGCAGAGTTTGGTGGACAGATGAGGGTGGTAGTTAAAGACTAGGAACGGTCCAATGGGGATATAAAAAGATGGGGAAATAGTCAATGGACTATGGGGGCATAGAGCAATGGTGGTTATTTTATAAAAAACAATGTATATGAATGATTGTATGAAGCACAATGTGAATGAAAAAATATGTGAAAAACAATGTTACATGAATGAAATTCAATCCAATACATACAATTATACAACATCAAAATAAATTAAAAATATATTAGAAACAGAAAACAAAAATCTTCACAACGGAATCAATAAATAGAACAAACAGATTCATCCTAGAGAGGGTTAAACCAGGCTACTCCTTGGAGGCCAGGATTCTGGGGCTTTGTCTGACATACCTTGGACATGTTGTAAGGAGAGACAGGTTCTTGGAGAGGGACATCATGCTTGGGAGGGTAGAGGGACAGCGCAGGAGGGGAAGACCATCTATGAGGTGGATTGATTGAGTTACTGGGGTAATCGGGATGGGTGTGTCAGAGGCAGTACAATTGGCACAGGATAGAGCAAGGTTTAGGGCTGTTGTACATAGGGTCGCTATGAGTCGCAAATGACTCGACGGCACATAACAACAACATACTATTGAATAATTCAGGAAGCAACAGAATATGGAAGGAATTCTTGAACCAAAAAGAATTATCCAGCATTAGTTATTTAAGCAGGTAGTATGAGATCGAGTCAGATATAGGAACCCAGGTTGGACAAACCTTGAGGCCCCAGGGCATTCCTTCTCTACTTGCCTGTACAGACTGTTCCGTTCCCTTTGAACCCTGCTGCACACTCGCATGAGGTCGTGCCGTTAGGATTGAGAAGGCAGCTGCAAAGACAAATGGGTAAATGATGTTAGCAGAAAAATACACAGCCAAGCATCCCATCCCACGATGTGACTTACAAGTGGTCTCCACCTCATCTCTCCAGTTTCCCGTCTCCCACCTCTATAAAGCATTCAAGAATTCTGCCTAAAGTTTGGGAGGAGAGTCCACTCAATACGGTCCCTCAGCATGCACTTAATCACCAGACATTGCATGTGTAGGCCAAGCAATAAGAAGTGTAGCTCCTAATCTTTAGAGATGTTCCTATTCTCTCGGTGCTGTGTTCTTTCCTTACTTCCTATGATCTATGGATAGAGTGATAGGAACGAGGGTACCATAGTGACAAGGAGTTGCAGTGGCAACTTAAAGCCAACTTCTCTTTTCGTCAATGTGCCAGGTAACTCAAGTGGCAGTTTGTTCAAAGGCTGCATGGTTGTTGATGGGGGCCTCTTTAGAGACATTTTAATTCTCACATGTAACTGCTTTATCAATTGATGTCATAGGGCAACTTCTGCATAATGGTTGAATGAAAAATTTATTTTTTTTGTAAATTCTCACTCAAATCACAATAAACAAAATAATGTATATACAAAATAAAATGGTCACATAAATTAATAATCTAACACGTTGAAATAGAGAACAAAGCAAAATTTACCTTTCCCAAAAGGCTTGGTTGCCATTCAGGGGCTATTTCCAGGCTGGGAAGATGGAACAGAAAGGCTGGATTCTCCTAAGGTGTGTTTTCTGATTTGGGGTTGAGACTAGGGTGTGGCTTTTGTTCACAACAGGGTGTTACCTGATTGGATTTGACCTCATATTTAAAAAGGATTTTGAGCCGTTGGGCCTGTGGCCCTCAGGCCTGCTCTTTGTGGATCTCCCAAATAAAACAGGTTTGGAAGCAGGAGAGGTATCTATTTCCAAAAAAAGCTTGCCTCCTGAAACTCCATGAACTTGGAAAAAAGAAAGTTTTGTGCTCAAGTCTTTTGTTCATAGGGCCACTATTGGTTACTTTGACTCAATGACACTTAACAACAAAAACAATAAACTCTAAAACCAAATCTACTGTGGTTGAGTCACTTTTGACTGCAAGGGACTCCATATGACACAGTAGACCTACCCCCTCCCAGGACATCCATGGCTGTACTCCTTACACAATCAGCCTGCCACACTTTTTGCTTGACTGGTGGATTTGAACTACTGACCTTTAGGTTACCAGTTGAGGGCTTTAACTATTGTATCATTAAGGCTCCAAAGTCTACCCTATTGCCTGGTGAATAGCGTGTGGAAACTACTCCCCTCAAGGTTAAACTCTGGAGTTGAAACCACTGGGAAGGAGTCCCTTTTTCATTTCCCCAATGGAAGTCCAGGGGACACCTACTTGGCACTGCTGTGGCACTTCCTACTGCAGTAGTCTCCTGTGATTTCTGAAAAAGAGATCCAGTTGCTGTGTCAGCCTTTATCACCCAATTTCACTCAAGAACTTTTTTTAAAATATTTGGTGTTTTTTAAAAAAGTATTTACTTCTGAAGTAATCGCTATTCATTAAAGAAACTATGTGCTGGCCGTGTGTGTGTGTGTGTGTGTGTGTGTGTGTTTTGATTGCCTTCAAGTCAAGCACAACTTATAGTGACCCTATGAACAAAAGGCCTGAAGCCCCTCTACAACTAACAACATTTATCAAAGTTCATAGAGTTTCCTGTTGTTTATAGAAGTCTTTTTTTTTTTTTTTTTTTCCACCCAGGCTGTCAGGATTCTCAAAGCCAACTATGAAGGTCAAGTGTAGAACAAAAGTAGAAAAACTGCCAATGGAGTGTTTCTTTCCTGCACTTCATACCTTGTGCTCGATGATAAGGAGGTAAAGAGAATAAAACACAATGTCTTCTCTCTTGTTCTCACGGGTCCTTGAGGTGCACAGGCTGACAGGTGTCCCTCGTCAGGCTCTAATTTTATTTATATTTATGTTCCTTATTCTTTCTAGTTTTTTTATTATTTCATAATGGATGGACATCATCAGAAGAGACAAGAACTTTCAGCACATTGAGCAAATGTGCAACATAGCTAAGGTTAAATTTTTTTTTTAAATGTAGCAATAGCAATGCTACCAAGCCAAACTGTTTTTGGTTAAATATTCTTCTAGGTCATATAGCCCTGGTGTGTCCATTTGCTGTACAGAGGTAACTTGTGGTTGCTATGAAGCTGAACACTGTGACACCGATATATCAAATGTGATAATAGTTACCCATGGCAGACAGTGTTTGGTAGCGCTCCCCGATTAAAACAAGCTTGGAAGCAGGAGTGGCATCTCCTTCTATAATAGCTTGCCTCTGGAAACCCTATGAACCTGGAGAAAGGATGAAGGTCATGCAAATGTTGAGGACTTTCGTTTGTAGGGTCACTATGAGTCATCTACGACTCGACGACACTTAACAACAACAACAACAATAGTCATAGTGCAAGGCCTGGTCACTCAGCAGGAGCTTAGTATATATTTGTTGAATTTATTGTTAAATTTTGTGCATGTTGAATAGATTCTTGCCCTTGGATGTCCAGACACCACAGATTATTTCCTGCTATGGAGGATTGGAAAAAAAAAAAAGATGAGCAAAGCATATCCTTTGAGCAGGATGTTTGTAATAAGAGCTTTTGGGAATTGCATTAGTCAAGTGGCACAGAAGGTTCTGAGACAGACACCTGGCTGCAGAAGCAGATTGCTTGGTGTCAGAAAGAACATATTCAGGTCCCAGGAAACTGAAGTGGATGCAGGGTGATTTTATGCTTTCCTGTGCTATCGATTAAAACCTCAACGATCAGTCATTTTACAACCAAATGTCTCCATTTTTTCACTGCCACAGTCACATGACTGTTGTAGTTCAGATTTTCATCCATCTTCCCTTGAAATTTTGCTACATTTTCTAGACTGTTGTCTGACCTTGTCATTTTAAGTGTGGTTGATCTTCCCATGTACCATGTTCTTATAAACCCATAAAGGAAAGGGAAAAAATCCACCACTACCTCAAACTAATGGATCTATTATAGAAATCTGTCTACATATTTCCCCCCTAACTCATTGCTTCCATTCCTCTTCTCCCTGGCTCTGGAAAACCTGACTCTGGATTCTGGTATTTGATAACCTGCCCTGGATTGTCTCTGGCTTCTTGGAACCATCCAGACTTTCTACTTGATCTTGACAGACCAGAACCTTGCCCTTTCCTGTGTCATTCTCATGATCTTTGTTAACCTTGAATCCATTGTTATAGTCACTGTGACAATATATATTGTTGAAGATCTTCCTCTCTTACTCTGAGCATCTATTTTGCCCAGCATGGTATCTTTTCCCAAAACCTGCCCTCTGCAATAACATGCCCAAAGTATACAAGACCAAGTTTCACTGTCTTTGCCACTAAGGAGCAGCCAGGTTGCACATTCTCCAAGACAGCAAGGCAGATTTGTCTGTTCTTTGGGCAGTTCATGGCGTGTTTAGTACTCTTCTCAAAAGTACAGTTCAAAGACACAGATTCTTCTCTGGCCATCCCTCATTCACTGTTCAGCCATCAGTTGCATAGCAAACAACTGGAAGGACCATGGCTTGGATCAGGCACACATTTGTCTCTAGACCAACAGCCTTGTTCTCTAGCACTCTGGAGTGGAATTACATGTAGGAATTGAAAAAGTCATGGTATCTATATTTGTTCACATGGAAAGACATCCTCCATGATATATTGTAATGGGACAACTATAGGCTACAAAATAGTATGGTGAATACAATTCTGTATACATGTGTATACATATTCCTAGATAACACTTAGAAGGTTAATACAAAACATTAATAAATTGTTTCTTACATTGGGAGAATAATTTTACTTATTTATTTGTACTTTAATGTGAGGAGGAATTGTTTTTCTTTCTAGATGCAGCAAGAAAGGCATTATTTCCCTTTTTAGAAAGAAACAGATTACACTGTGGTGAATGAGGGAAGAGTGGATTGTAAGTACTGAGGTGTTGCTCTTACCAGTGTCACATTTCACTCCTCGCCAGCCGACGTCACATTTGCAGGTACCATCACCTGAGGGTCCTTGGTTACATTGTCCATGGACACACGGACACACTAAGTGGAAAAATGTCCACAGACCATCAGTGTCTCATTGTGCTCAGAATCTTACGCATTAGATTTTAAAGGGGTTTGTGTCACTGCACTTTATTCTCCAGACTCACTGTCCTTACCAGAACGGCAGGTGCAGAAGAAGTAGAATCTTGTAGGCTGGCGACAGGTGAGCCAGGCTGTGTAGCAGTAAGACCATTCAGACCACAATTTTGGGACCACATAGCAGTACAAATGAGTGATTTAAACAGAGTGACAGTATCTTTGGCTAAGATTATCTGAGGGCCAAGTGTTAAGTGGGGCGGCTCTGGGTAGAGTTGCACATGTTCCCAAAGCATGGACTTCAAAAAGCAGCTAACTGGATCTGGGTTTATATAAACCTGGAATGTCAATTTCTTTGTCACTCAGGAGGGTCACGGGCCTTTATGAGTAATTATATGAAAGTTATGACTGTTTTTCACCCCAAAACACTTCCAGCTATGGAGGTTTCCTGACCTTTCTTTCTTTCTTTTTTTTTTTTCCCCCTGTGGCTCTACTGGTGAGTTCAAACTGCTGACCATTTGCTTTACAGGTGAACACTTTAACCACGGAACCACCGGTATTATGTTTGGGAACACTGCCCTGTTCCTGTAATTGTCAAAGGTGAGAGCAGGTGGGAATTCAACCTGTCTGCAGAGACAGGCTGCAAAGGGTGCACATGCTAATTCCCTCTTACTGCATATTCCAGGCGGTTCCCAGAGCCCAGGACCCTGAAGGGTGTGGGTGGGAGGTGCCCCACCTTGATCACAGTGGATTCCATATTTGCCTTCCATGCAGGTCTCACAGGCTGTCCCGTTGAAGCCCTCTCCACACTCGCACACGCCAGTGCCATTAACTCCATCCAAGCAGATTCCGTTTCCCAAGCAGGCGTCTCCGATTCTCCCTGGGCAGGGCTGGCACTGGGGGCCAAAGAAGCCCGCGCAGCATTCTTTAGTCTGAAACAGAAGCGCAGGCTTGATGCACACACCATGCCAGGTGCTCATTCAGAAACCCTGCTGCTGTCCTGTCTGTCCTGCTTCTTTGACCTCACGTGGAAGTGTAGTGGACAAGAGGACAGAATCCCCTGAGGACTGAGGAGGCTAAGTGATTCCGGGGGGGGGGTGCCACAGAGAGGACAAGGACCCCCACTGGGAAGGAGGGAAAGAGAAAGAGAAAAAGAAAAAGGCAAGGAAGAAGAGGGCGTGAGGAGAAATGAGATATAAGTAGAGACAGCAGAAACAAGTTAAAGTTGCAGATAACACAAGTGAGGCTGGAAAGGTCTGAGAACTGAAGGGCCTTTCCTGTGTTCAAACTCAGGCCCTGTGGTGTCCTGTATTAGCTCCTCTAATACCTCTTTCATGACACTCCACTTTATTGTACATATACATTGTTTTCTTTTTTAAAATATTTTTTTAAAATTTTATTATTTTCTTGTGTGTGTTCCATCAAATTGGACAGGGGGAGACTGCCCCTCCTTCTCCAGCAAAGCATCTGGTGGATTCGAACTGCTTACCTCTAGGATTGCACTGCAACTCCTTGCCACTAGGCCACCAGAGCTCCCTATATATACATTTTAAATACAAACTGAAGTTATTGAAGGTTTGTGGCATCCCTTTCTTGAAGCATATTGCCACCATTTCTCCAATTGTCACACCCTCACTTTGTGCTACTGTGTCATGTTTTGCTATTTATAGTGATATTTCATACTTGGTCATAGGCTATTGCACTCACAATAGACTATACTATAGTGTTGACATAACTTATATATGTACCTGGAAACCAAAAATTCACTTGACCTGCTTTAGGTGACGTTTACCTCACTGCTGTAGTCTTGAACCCACAATATGTCAGAGGCATGCTTCTAGTCCTCTCTGCAGGGATGGCTTTGGCAGTTCATAAACCAGTGCGTGAGCCCTGCAGGGTGTCTGTCTGGCTTGCTGTTGGTATGTAGTGGTTAGGGGCCATCAAGGCAAGTATAACTCATAGTGACCCTATGAAACAGCCGACATGAACCCTGCCCTATCCTGTACCATCCTCATCATCTCTGACACATGACAGCCCATTCCGGAAGCCACCATGTTTATCCGTCTCGTTGGGAGTCTTCCTGTCCTTCATTGACCCTCCACCTTTCCAAGCATGTTGGTTTTCCCCCAGTGAATAGCCTCTCCTAGCTACATGTCCAGATGATGAAAGATGAAGCTTCACCATCATTGCCTCTAAAGAGTATGATAGCTGCACTTTCTCCTGGAAGTCCATGCGATAGTCAGTACTCATTTCCAGCACCACAACTCCAAGGTATCCATTCTTCTGTCCCCTTTATTTGGCTTAGGCCTGCCTTTATTCCTGAGTATCTAGTCTTCTCCAGCCCCCACCTCTGTAGCTTAGAGACCAACCCTCCTAGGATAGGCATGGATTATAGTGGTGAGAGAAGTAAGACAAGTACTCCCGATTCTAAAGTTACAGCCCAGAGAGGTTTAGTTTTGGGGTCCTGTTTTTAAAATTACTGGGGTTACTTTCTCTAAGTGAGTTAGCTACTTCTTGTCTGTTTATAGGTGTGCTCCAAGGACTACCCTCTTATGAGAGCAGGAAGGTCCTCTTAGGCTGTTGATCTCCCAAATCTTCATTATATCAGTGTTATTTGCCTGGAGGAGCCAGTCCTTGGGAAAATACATCTTGCTGGGAAAGACCGTGAAAGAGAGGAAACCCCTTAGGGCCCTAAGAAGATGGATTGATGAGGTGACTCTAATAATGGGCTTGAGCGTGGTGGAGATCGTGGCTATGGTACAAGACAAGGTAAGGTTTGGTCTGTTCCAGGGTTGTTATGAGTCATAGTTGACGCTGATTAGACGGTTTGATCACGAGGATGCTGCAGAATAAGGCAGAGTTCCAACCTGTTCACAGGTTTGCTATAAAACGCAATGGCATCTAAAACCGATAACTAACAAGAGCAACCACCCCACTTTATGACACACAAGGCTGTCCCCAGGCTCTTGAAGGTTACCACTTCCAATCAGGATGGAGATAGTAAGGCGGAAGGGGAGGGGCAAAAAGCAAACACAAAGGTGTTTCGTAAACCATACTGTCTGGTTACAGTTTTCACAGTTGCCGCATAGGCCGGAAGCTGAGTAAATCTTTATACTCACGATGACAGTCTTCACACATGTTGGCTGGCATCCAACGAACACGGATCGCTTTCCCAGGAAATAAAGGGTTAAGATGCATTTCTTTGACTCTTTACCCTATGAAACAGTGAAGATTCTATCAGTTTTTAAGTGAAGGAAGAAGGGGAAAAAAAGTTTTCCAGGTTTTGAAAGTAAGTTGGCGGATGATGCATAGAGCGCTAAGGGGTCATCACTTCTTGACACTGTTTTATCAGTAAGAAAACACAACATTGGTCGTTAGAAGTCCAGGTGGCAAACAACCCAAGTAATGGTACCAGTCCTGAGGCCTGCAAATGATTTAGTGCGAGGCTACGAAAGGAAAGGTCAGCTCTTCAAACCAACCCAGGGGAGCCTGGAAAGAAAGTTCTGTCACTCTACTTCTGAAATATCACCCTCTGAGAATTCAGTGGAACATGATGTTACTTAAGACACACATAGGGTCACTTCACAATGAGTTGCATGGGGTTGGGGAGAAACTAAAATAAGAGGTTAAATAAGGTACACTGCATTCAAATGCATGAGGGAAAGAACTGTTTAAAAGGAATATATGTTTAGGTATTATTTGCATGACAACAGTCCAGAACAAGAGGTATACAGCAAAGCGGACCTTGTTGGGGTGTGTGTGTGAGAAATTTGTGTAATAATGAAAGATTTTTTTAAAGAGAAAAGTGAATTGGGGAAGGGTTGTAGGTAGGAAAATGTGCAACAATGAATTAATGGAAAATTTTAAAACCCCAAAACAACAAAATTTTTAAAAATCTATAAATGAAAGATTGTATAAAACATGATTTAAATGAATGAGGAAAAAAAAGATAGGACTCTGTAAAAAGAACTTTTCTCTAGAAGACTAACTTAAGTCAGGAAGTATCATAGAATGGTAACAAACAACTCATTGCCATCAACCCTGATTTGGTTTGCAAAGAATGTAAATTGCATGAGAGGAAGTTGCTTTCTCCTGCAAAGCAGCTGGGAGATTCAAACTGCTGAACTGATTGTCTGGGCTGGTAGTGCAACCCTTAGCCACTGTGGATAAACCTCTCTTCCAAGTCTCCATTTGATTGATCTTAACTTGATCATTGGCTTTTATTTATTTATGGATTTATAGCCTATCTTGGTTCAAGATGTGATTCAGACTTCTCACAAAGACATATAATATCCATGATTAAATTAAAAGTCAACAGAGCAATCATGCTTGTTATAAATTCCTGTGCAAGGCGCAGGAGCATCTGTCCTTCATAGTATTTGGAACATTACACTGTTGGTGGGATTGTAAAATGGTTCAACCACTCTTTGGAAGACAGTGGTGTTTCCTCGAAAAGTTGAACATAGAAACTCCATATGACCCAGTTATTCCACTACTAGGAACACACCCCAAGAAAATTAGAACTGAGACACAGAGACTTGTACACCAATTTTCATAGCAGCATTATTCACCATTGCAAGAACATGGAAACAACCCAAATGTCCAAACACAACCAAATGGATTGAGAAATTGTGGTACTTTCACACAATGGAAATACTATGTAGAGTGAAGGAACAATGATTTTGAAAAATACTGTGTAACTTGGGAGAAGCTGGAGAGCATTATGTTGAATGAACTAACTCAGCTCATAAGGACAAATACCGCATAAGACCATTATTGTAAAAATAGAAGGATAACTATTAAAACATTTATGGGAACACAAAGAGGGGCAGAGGGATGGGAGCAGAGGGGTAAGGATGGGAAGGGGTGGAACCACAGAGTTGCAGGGTTTGGTGGGTGTAGGGAGGAGGGCAAGGGAAGGATGCAGGCCAAAAAATAGGTGGGGAAGGTCCAGTAATGACTGATTTTATGAAACATCACACATGAGAAGGAGTGTACGAAACACAATGTGAATGAAGAATAGTGTGGAACTCAATGTATGTGAACTTTGTAAGCAAATAAATTTAATTTTTTTTTTAAAGGCCATAGGCACCCAGTGGACACAGTGCTGGGAGCCCTGAGGAGTGTGTGTTCGCTGGGGGCTCTACAAAGTGCCCACGTTGTGCTTGTAGCGCCTAAGTTCACAGACAAAACAGGAATGGGTGATGACAGAAAATAGTGTTGGAACAGTGGGAATGAGCAATTTTGCACATGCAGCTTTGGGAGATGTTGTTTACTGTAGTCTTTCTGAAGTTGGGACAAAATTGAACAAACAAGATGAGTTTGACACTCTGGAAAGGGTGAAAGCTGCTTATGAACTGTATTCTCATTTTGCAGAAGAATTGACAGAGGTTAATGAATCTCTATCCAAAAACCCAGCACTTGTTAATAAGCCTTGTTAACTGGTTGGCTGATCAAGATGACACTTCAGAACTTGAAGAACTAATGAATGAAGAAGCCTATGAGAAATGCATAAAATCTATTGAGGATTGGAAACAAAACCACTCTACGAAGTAGTGTAAAACAGTTTACACTGTCCTAAATGAGCAGGGGGTGGAATGAAAGTAGTTTTTAGCAAAACATAGTGGAAAACAGAAATGACATATGGCAGTTAACATTACTGAGAAAAAGTACCCTTTAACTTTATAATGAGTAGTACAAATAAACCCAATATACACTTTCTTCACATTACCCTGTAATTTTTAAGTTATAATATTCAAAATTTATTTATTTATGTGTGGTAAGAATAGTTACTGATATCTTAAGTCTGATATAATGTACCTACTGCTGACATCTGCACCTGGATTTGGGTTAGAATGCCTAGCAAATTTCCACTAGAAATGCTAAGTTTTTGTTAGCTGTACAGTGTCAGTTAAAGAATAATACTATCTTCATTTTGCCATATACTGCCTTTGCTGGTGCTATGTTTTTACAATGAAGCAACAGGCATGCAGAAAAAGAAACAATTTAGTAATAAAACAGTCAACACTTATTTTTTAAAAAAAATCCATAAAAACCAGATTATTTTTTTAAAAATGAAAATATATTTGTAATTTATTAAAAGCTGTGTGTATTTTGTCCACAAGGGTCTCTGGTGGCACAGCAGGCTAACTGCGGGTCGGTTGAACAAAACATTGGTCGTTTTGATTCCCTAGTTGTCCCTTAGGAAAAGATGAGTCCATCTGCTCCTTCAAGGTTTACAGCCTTGGAAAAGGCATGGGAAGTTTGTCTTTATCCTGAGTCCACAATAGACTTGTTGGCAGTGGGCTTTATGCCCATGTCTACAGGTTGGTATTTTCCCCCTTAGTTGAAGGTGGTTATAACTTCAGTTCTAAGAAAAAAATCAAGTAGGTAGAACTCACCAGGTTGAGTATGGTTTGGGACATGGAATTTGTCTTCTCTGCTAAGATTTCTTGCTGTTGCCTTCCACTGGCTACTGTTGTTGTT